AAATCATACAATATTTGTCCTCTATCTTTTGTCTAACATTTTACTTAGCATAATACTCTCTAGGGCCACCCATGTTGTGACAAAGGGCACGACTTCATTCTTTTTTTATGGCTGAGTAATATTTCATTGTGTATGGTACACACACACACACACACACACACACACACAAACACACACACACACACACTGACTAATGGCCAAATTATGAGGGTTCCAAACTCCTATGTACACCGGCTGCAAACTTTATGATGTCCTTCAACAACAGATCACAAGGAGCTGTCTTCTAGGCACTCACACAAGATTTCAAGCTGGCACTTATTACTGGCTTTTGCCATTCTGTGCCTAAAAAGCGTTCTTGTAAAGCCTCTTTTGCACCCAGCTGACCTTTTTCATTCCATCTGGTCCTGTATCAGTAGGAAATCGTGCATTCTTACAATTCCATTGGGCCACTCAAGACACAAAGCATTCTGGTAGATTGTCAGGTCCTGGCAGAAAGAGAATGCACCAACCTTTTATGTGTCTGCACTCAGGATGGGCTTACTTGAGCCTGATATTTCTTACTTCATACACAGAGCCGTTTGTATCTTCAAGGTACCTGCATGTAGCTAAATTAACGTGGAATTAGAGGAATTCTAGAATTAGTGGTCCTGCTGTTCTCAGAATCACCTATGCCCTCTCTTTTTGCCTGGCTTTTCTTCTTCATTTGCAATGAATTTTCTCTTGCAGGCATCCATAGTACCTTCCAGAACTTTAGCTTTTGCTGGCTGCTAATCTCTTTTCCTACCCCAAGCTCCCAGACAAATTTTATGTATGTGACCTTGGATTGAAGAGGTGGTATAATTTGTTTTCTCCTTCTAGGCGACTCCCTAGAAACTATATAAAGTAGTGGATGTGAACAGATACTTGGTTTTCAAAGGGAAGGTGTTGGCTGACTTCACATGCTTATCTGAGATCCAGCTGGCACCCCATTTTCATAACCACTGAAATGGTCTTTAGAGATACAGTCTTTATAGTTAAAGAAAATGACCCCTAGAGCAGCCAAATAATTGTTTAATCTTGTACACTTTAGCTAATGACAGATTCCAGTGTAATCTCCACCCTGCTTTGATCCTTCTGAATAAATAAATTCACATGAAGGGTAGAGAGTAAAACAGGAACAAGGCAGAACTGGGAAGAGAAAGGGTATGTGAGTTTTACAAAACGGATGGCATTTAATTGTGAGATTAGCTTCTTGAAAATGGGGAGGGAATGTTGCAAAAGGAAGAAAAATCATTTCTACTGTAGAAGTTTTTAAAGAGTGCCTATTAACATAAGTATGCCAAGGACACAAAATAGAAATATTGTATTTCCTTAAAAAAATTTATCAGATTATTTTAGGTACAATAAAAGAATCACTGCTACTCTAAAACATAGCTTTTAATTCAAATGATACCTAATCAAAATAGTATTAGGGTCAACGTTTAGGTCCCATGGTACACATGTTAAAATTTATTTCCCCAAAAAATGTAGTAGGCATTTCTGAAAATACTTCTCTTTGCAGCATTGTTATCATGTGTTATTTCAGTCTTTTCCTTTCACCCCTTTGCCCTGTTCCTTCTGCTTTTCTCAGAGCCTATGTCCATGTGCTAAATAAGCAAATGTGCTTTCCCTACTACCTCAAAATATGTCTACAGAATCATGTAGGTGAAACTGACAAACAGCACAAGATCATGGTCTCTGTGCTCATTTTCACAGGAAGGAGGAGAAATCCTTCTACTCAAAAAAGTGATTTTGTAATAAAAACATTGACAAAGCAAAGCCCCTCCCAGGTAATGTACCCCACATTCCTGCCAGTGACAGTTGCTATGACCAACTGGTGAGGGAGTAAGAGAGCATTTGCTTAAAGGTGTTTTAATATAATATTAGTGCCACCTAAGTGAAAATAGCTTCTCCAGTGCCGTAAAATATGAATTTATGTAGTCACTTGGAATCCATTAATTCACTGTAATTGGTAGACAATACGCTCATGTGTTATGGACTGAAAAATAACATCAATGCATTTCTGGAGGTGCAGGTCTGATTTCCTTTTTACTTTCTAATCAAACTAATTGCATATTACAATTTTATTGAGTTATTAGTCTTCCATCCATCTTACTTAATAAATATTTTATAATATTTAAAGTAAATTATAATTCATGAAATATTTGACTATAAAATCAACTGAAATCACTAAAGAAAGAAAAATAAACATGTGTAAATTCTTTTCAGACATTATATTCATGCACATTTATAAACATGACTTTATATATAGTATGCTAAATGTCTATGTACAAATATAAATGCAAAAATGGATATAATTATATGGCTATCAACCAGTAAAACATTCAGTGCACATTATACTTTGTGGAATGTATTTTGCCTGGGTGAGTTGAGACAGATTGTATAATAAAATGAACATGGCAAAAGTGAGGTTTAAGTCAGGAAACAGAATAGTAAAGCAATTTCCTGAGTTATTTAAATGCTTTCAAAGAGAAATGTCATTACATACTTGAGTTACACTGGCATATAATTACATGAACATCACAAATAACAATGTCTTACTAAGAAAACAGAAGTTATTATAGAAAAATTATTCCCCATCATAAATCTTCATTTTAAGCTCAGGTAAATACACACAAAGGGGGTTTGCACATTTTCAAAATTAATTCTAAGTCATTAAGTTGTCAATTATTATGATTAAAAAAAGTTTGTTTCTAAGTACATTTCAAAAACTCTTCCTTATAAATATGCTGAAGGGTTTAGAGATAAAGTGTAGTGATTTCTGTTATTTCTTTTGAAACTGATAAAAATAAGATGGATTGAGGGGTAGGTAGATAGATGAATAGATACATGATGTGAAGCAGAATGTTGATTGTGGAATCTAAGTAGTGGTACTATGGGTGTTCCATGGCATTTCTTACAATGTTTATGTTTGATAATTTTCATAATAAAATGATGAGGTAAAATATCAAGAGGAGAAACAGAAGAACAGGTTACAGGAAAGCTGAGTGTCATGAATACAGAATTTGTTGAAAAATTAACTGGGAACATGCCTGGGAAGGAAAAGAAATTTTATTTGTGAAGGAATTTGTGATCTTTTTACTATATCCTATCAAATGTGGAAAAATATTTATGTGACAAGCTCAGGTCTGGTCAATTCATTTATTTAATCATTTTATACTATACTCTCCATATGATACTTACTGTCCAGTCCATCTGCTAGATCCCAACAATATAACTGGAAAATAATAGATGGAAAAAATAGCAAATAGAAAACTAAAAGACAACGTTTTAGGTAGGATGGTGGATAAAGGACAAGGAACTTTGGAAACACCTGGAGTGGACGTCTTGCATGGGCAGTTTTAGAGGAAGAACCCTTCCATCCATGTGAAGGACAGACTGGAACTCTTAGCTAGAGTTCAGGCAAGCAGAAAGTTCACAAAGGCTATTGATAGCAAAATTGCATCCTAAAATGCAAGTCCACTTACCATGAAATAATTTACTGTTTTGAAGGACTTGATAGTATAGGGTGGTATCAGGAACCAAATGAGCCTAGGGAAGACAAAAACAATATTATAGTTACCAAAGCCTTAAGATGAAAGAGAAAGATTGCTTGTGAATACCATTTATTGCCTGGTGTTGAGGTTGGATTGTTGAAGATGCCACGTAACCGAACCCAAAGCTTAAAATCACCATGGTTACCCTCATGCTCATTCATGGTAGCTACCCAAGGTAATCTTTTTCTCTGTTGTTTTTCTGAATGGATCAAAGAATTTAGACCACCCCAGTGAAGTATAATTAGAATGGGCTTTTAAATTTATCTAGGGAAAAATGTGTTCAGAGCTAATGAGGCATTGCAGGGAAAAGAGACCTAGCCATAAGCAATCTCCACAAGAAGAGAACATTTCGGATACCTAATGCAAAGATGGCATTGTGTGGATGAGTGTAGTCAGAAGTGGTTTTTGTCTCTTGAACTTCTCACCCTAAAATCGAATTTCACTGGAAAATAGTAAATATGTTAAGATGACACTTTAACATTTTATTTTAAGAAAAAGACAGGCAACATTCTTCTATGAAAAGCCAAGCATTCTGTTCTTCGGATATAAAATTCCTCAAAAAGTTCAAAGATATAATTTCATCTAACAGCAGCTGAAAATCAAATCATGTTGAAAACTGAAGAAAGCATCCTTAGTACATGTACCTTGTATACTTATTTTGTATAGAGGAAAAACAGAGGTTTTGTTTGTTTGTTTGTTTGTTTGTTTGTTTTACTTAGATAAGATGCATCTGAAATAATCATATATTTTGAACTGTATTAACTGATTCAGACTATTTCAGGTAATATTTAATGCTCTGAAATACTTATTTATTTGGTAGCAATCTCAGTTATAGAGAGCAGCTCTCAAGCAATGCATGATGGAGTTTCATTTATAAACAACCAAACTCCCACAGTTTGCAGGTGAGGGTAAGCTCCTGTCCTGAAGATACTTTTTATTTTTGTAAATGGCATTCACTTTAATTTTTGGTTCTAAGGTTTTTTTGTTTGTTTGTTTGTTTGTTTTTTAACATTGAAAATATGTTACCATAAGGCAGACCCCCTTAAGTGAGTACCATCTTAAATACTTGCCAGCTAACAGATTACACAGTATCAAAATCTAAGCTTGAGAGAATGGGGCACAAGCTAGGCACTTGGTGATGGTTCTGGAAAGGGAGGTTAAAAGATTCAAAGACAGCCTCTGTGTCCTGTGCTCTTCTGTCTGAGACAGGCCCTGGGGATATTATTAGTCTCTTTAACATCTGTGAGGGAATTAAAGTTGGAACACAGGCCAATGACCTCACACAGGGAAGTGAGCTACAACGTGCAACAAAAGAAATCTAAGCAAAGGGAAAGATGCTACCATGCCTTTCTTTAAAATCCACTCTCTGTGTAAGAGAAACCAGGCTTTGTCACTGGTGCTGACAAGGAGCAGAGGCAGATCTGAAGACTTTGTCAGACGACAGTCAAGGCATTAATCAAAGCACCCACAGCTTTATGGAGCTTTGAGCTACAGGGGATAATGAGTCTCAGTCCTGATTTGGTTTTGAACAAGGGAAACATTTAAGGAAATGGTAAATAGGCTTTGTTTAGAATGTTTCAGTTTAGAGCCTAGATTAAGTGATGTAGTCATTATTCTCCCTAGAATATTTTCATCTATTTCGAGTAAGTTACAGAATATTCTAATTTTGGAGCAGAGGTCATTCTTCTTTATTGCTGAATGATGCAAACTTGACCACAAAAGACCTCAATAATTAACTCACACGAAATCATAAAACTACCTCTCATAAGGGCTTTGGAGATCACAGAGCTCAATCTCAATGCTTTACAGATGTATAAACTGAGATCCAGGGAAGTGAAATGATTCTGTCCATGGTCACAGTGTTCATCTATGACTGCAATGGGACTAGAGCCAAGAGCTCCTGAAACAGCTCCATTGCAATTCTACCACTCCGAGAAGCTCTTACATGATAAACTGCAAATATGCATGTTAAAAGACCTCAAACTGAAATACAGCTCTAGAATTATATTCTGTATTTATCCAGCTCATAAAAACTCCTAAATCTTCCCAAATTTTAAGATTTGTAGAGTAACAGCATTGCAATGGCACATGGAAGCATGTGTCACACACACACACACACACACACACACACACACCTGTGTTATGTCTCAAAGACATGCTTAGGTATTTTTGGCAGGGTTACATACATAATAGTAAGGATCTGAGGGAAAGGGTATTTCAGAGTCGATAGATATACTCCAGGATTTTCTCCTTCTAAAATACATGGGTTCTCTTTGGAGCTTACAAACTATATAGATCTGTATACATTATAAATAACATATACATATTTTAGTACTTCCATTAATGGGAAATAGTAAATCATAACAACTTTGCTACTGGACTTTAATATCTATGCCAACAAAATGTCCTTGTTATCCTGCTGTTTCTTAGGTTGTCCTTTATCATTTCCTTTGCTGGTGTAATCACCTAAAATATAACCTTGGAAAAGTACCTTGCTTTTCTTAGTTCTAACTATTAAAAGGATCTTTGGATAAGTACATTTATAAAACATTATCCTCATTTCTTTATTTTTACAATCCTCATTCTCAGACTGCAAAGAGATGTCACTAATTCATTCTCTCTTTTTTGGTCAAACTTCTCATTGCCTAGAGTGGAAGCTAACGAGGTGGGAACAGACTGAACTCCTTCTTTTGGTGTTTCAGATATAAGACACATTGTGCTCGACCATTTGAGACACAATCAAAGCTCAGCCAGCCCACTCCTCCCACTGGAGAGAATTACTGACAAAGGGGAGAATCTAATACTACAAATAATAACAATGACATGAGCTAGTCTTTATGGGTATGCTGCAGATTACCAAGAACTCTCCATGCCTTATCTCAATTGGTATTCATAACAATACTGTGAGAAAGATATTATTGTCATGTTCAGTTAAGAAACGGTGGTTATATCATAATTTATTATCTATATAAATAAAAAGTTCATATAAATTATTATTTATGAATTGTTACTATGAAAATCTCCCCAGAAGCTATAATTGCTAACTAACATTTATTGAGTGCCTCCTATAGGTCTTCATGAAAACATCCTAAGACATATCAAGATACCTTCATTTTTCATATAAACAGACTAAGATTTAACAAGTCTAAGTCATTGGTCCAAGATCACACAGTTAGTAAGCAGTGGAGCTATAATTTCATTCAGTTAGTGTGAGTATATAGCCACTGGCTTAAAGGGCAGTTAAGCTGTGGAAATTGGGGGAAAAAAAAAAGAAAGGCATGAAGAGAAACAGGAAACAAATTAATTATAGTTATTGCTAACATAGTTACTATTGTTGCATTCTTATTACTGAGGGGTTTCCTGCTGGCAACTAAGTTGAAAAGGAAAACATGGTGGATTCAGTAATTTCCTTTTTCTGATTTTGTCAAGATGGAGCGCATGCTGCAAAGAATTCCAAGATACAGACATACAAGCCATTGGAGTTGAATGATAAGAGAATTTCTCTTTGGTGATCTAATGTCCACAGACATGGGTTTCAGTGCTGGGGACACTCCATTCCCTTCCTTGGTCTCTCTTTTGTGTTCTCCATCTTGCTGAGCAGCTGACCTTTAAAAACCTGCTTTAATGCATTTCTTTACCCTCTGCCTTTGGTTTGATTTGTCCAATGGAGGAATGGCTGGAGGGCTAGCGGTAGAAGAGTGAGGTCGGAGTGTTTATTCTCCCCAAGTCACTTCCTACTGGGTTACAGTGACTTGGCTGTGACCCTCTATGATAGACCACTTGTCAGGCAGCCCTCTCAGAATTCTGCCAATTTGCTTCTTCCCCATCCCTTCAGACATAGGTTAAGGGCTCCCCTGCTGTGAATCTGAGAGTACTGCACTATCCCTTGCTGGGTTTCCTAAACTCTGTCCACCTCTTTGTGAATAGTCCCTTGATAAAATTCTCCTCAACTCTTCTACCCTCCAGATCACACAGCTCATCAGAATGAGATCCTGGCCAAACCTCAAACATAATTTGTCTGCCTCCAGAGTCCATAGACTTTCCCTCACCACATGAAACTTCTATCACACTACACATATTACTCAGTGATAAGAAAGGCCTGTGCACCTGCCTTTTAAATGTGTCAAATGTAATCAATCTGTAAGAGGAGAGTCACCCCACATTTATTTGTCCGAATACCTTACAATTCCATACTCGCTGCTTCAATTGCTTATCTGGACACTTCGTGTTACTGTGTTTAATTAAGAAATTATGAATTTCTACAGCTGTCTAAACAAAATAACCAGCACTTTTCTTAGAGTTACCCAGTTACCCCACACACATTTAGGTCAACATTCACCTTTTCCACCCATGGCAAAAAGCACAGTCACCAGCAGCATTATGGCGCATGGTATACTATTATATCTTTGCTATATAGTTTCCCAACCTCAGTTCTCTTTTTTCTAAGCCACTTGATAAATATGTACCTTTATTTAAAGTAGAAATTATATGTATTATATTAGGTAATCAGTCACGCCAATTTTTAAATATTGTGTGGTAATAGGACTCATGAAAAATTTTCCTGGGACACTATTTTTTGCTATTTAACAAATGAATACTGGTTGCACTGTTTCTAACATTCTTGACAACTTTAACAAGAGATGTCTTCTGTGTTTCTTCTATCTGCCATGGTAAAAAGGTCACTTGAAAGTTAAAGTCTTTGCATTTAAAAGTCATGTTTTCTTACTACAGAGAACCATGTATGAGACTTCCAAATAATATTGGGTCTTCGGAAAAGTCATGATGTATTTTGTCTATGTTTTTCAAAGCTCATTTATTTATATAAAGAACAAAGATCAATCCATGATATGTTGCCCATTTTGTTCAATAACCTTTTGCCATCTTTCAGTGAGCTTCACAATTCCTCGTTCATAGACGGACCTGTCTTTATTTGCAAAAAACTGAACAAGGTGCTGATTTATAACCTCATCTGAATTGAACGTTATATCACGCAGG